TTAAATCTTTTCTCCATGTATCATGGACTAACTTGAGACTAAGCAGCCCTGGTAGTATAGTGGATTATGAGCTGGACTGCTAACCTCAATGTCAGCAGTTTGAATCTACCAGTTACTTCTTGGGAGAAGGATGAGACTTTCTGCTCCTTAAAGATTTACTTCTTTGGAATTGCTATACGAGGTTGCTATGAGTCAGAACTGACCCAACGACACAACCACCCATCACTACCACCACCTTTAGACTACCCTTATTTTAGCATTTATAGTTATTATCACAATTAAATGCAATTGAGAAAAAATACCACTTATCCATAAATTCTATTGTGCTGAACATGTAAGTAAAACGTGTCTTCCAGCTCAAGTGCTGAGAGTGAATGGTAACTAGGGAGAAGCCACGTGATGAAAAACCTAGAAGCTGAACCCTTTGAAAGAAAGGCCCAGTGAGTTGTAAAAAATGGAGTGAATATGGTCTTGTGCTCTCATGGAGAGAGAGAAATTGGGGAGAGCCCACGGGATAGGGGACGATTAATACAGCTACATAAAAAATCAACAAACAAGGACTTATAAGTGTTTATTCATCAAGTAGCACATATTTTTGTACCCTTATTGTTTTTTTTTTTATTGTTGATGGTGGTGGTGGTGGTGATGTGCCATGGAGCAACCCTGCATAGGGTTTCTGAGGCTGTAAATTTTTAAGGGAGCAGAAAGCCTCATCTTTCTCCCATGGAACAGCTGGTAGTTTAAAACTTCTGACCTTTTAGGTTAGCAGCCTGATTTGTAACCACTGTGCTACCAGAGCTCCTTTATTTTGAATTTACCTTGAATTTGCCCCTTGTTGGGGTCTCCAGCAGAAAATGAGAAACAGCTGCATAGAGCAGAGAGAATGAAGGCCGAGAAGGTAGATTGTCCTACACTTGAAGTCCTGCTCTACTACTTGCTATCAGAACAGCTGTAGGCAAATAACTTGACCTCTCAGAACCTCAGTGTCTTCATCTGTAAAATGTTAGAAAACAGTCAATGCTGCTCAGAGTTGTGGAGAGTTTTAATGATATCATGTTTGTCAAGTATCTGGCACATATTAAAAACTAGAAATAATTTGCTTTCTTTTTCCTTGGCTGTGTCACATACAACCTATCTGACCTCAAGTAAGGGCTTTATTTGCTCAGCTTCAGTTTTCTTAGATGTGAAATGGAATGATAGCAACTGCAGGTCTTTGATAGGTGCATTGCTGTTATTGTTAGGGGCCATTGAGTTGATTCCGACTCATAATGACCCTATGCCCAACAGAATGAAACACGACCCAGTCCTGTACCATCCTCACATTTGCTGTTTTGCTTGAGCCCATTGTTACCGCCATAGTGCCTATCCATCTTGTTGGGGGTCTTCCTTTTATTCGCTGACCCTTCACTTTACCATGCATGATGTCCTTCTCCAGGGACTGGCCCCTCCTGATAATATGTCTGAAGGATGAGAGATGAAGTCTTGCCATCCTTGTTTCTAAGGAGCATTCTGTTGTATTCCTTCCAACACAGATTTGTTTGTTTTTCTGGCATTCCATGATACTTTTAATATTTTTTGTCCAGTACTATAACTCAAATGCATCAATTCTAATAAGGCCCTCCTTATTCATTGTCCAATTTTCACATGAATATGAATCTATTGAAAATACCATGACTTGGGTTAGGCAGCTTAATCCTCAAATTTTGATATCTTTGCTCTTGAAAACTTTAAAAGAGGTCTTGTGCAGCAGAGTTGCTTAGTGTAATACGTTGTTTGATTTCTTGACCGCTGCTTCCATGAGTGCTGATGGTGGATCCAAGCAAAATTGTCTTTGACAACTTCA